CGGGCGGGGGGCGCGCCCCTCTACCCCGCCCGGCCGCGGCTCCCCGAGTCCCGCCGCGCGGTTTAGGCTAGGGCACCGCTACCCGCCTCGGTCGCGGCCGGGACTGGCGCTGGGACGAGCGCTCGAGCTAAGTAATTGCACCCGAGTCGGGAAGCAAACGGGCTCGAAGGAACCCAAAAGCCGGGGCCTGGGCCGGGGCATCGCGCCCTGCCTCGTCGGGAGCTGGCGCCGAGGCGCGGAGCTGGGGCGGTGAGTCTGAGGACAAGGAGGGGACCGGCTTCCTTTGGGTAGGTGCTGCGGGAGGCCCCGCTGTCAGAGGCCCCGTTGCAGCGTTTCGGGCGGGGTGTTTTAAGCAGCAGCTGCGGCCTCAAGTGAGCGAAATGCCGCGGCTGTTCTGCAGAGAACTGAAATCGGCGAGTGGTGACGGGGGCTGGTCGGCCGGGGCGGGCACGGGGCCCGTGCAGAGCAGGTGACAGGTTCGGAAGGGAAATGTCAATTGCTGTGTGATGAGCTCCACGTTTGAGTTGCTGGCAGGATAAGAGTTGGAGATACTACGCTCTGGAACGGTTTGCAAACGTAAACGTTGTGCTAATACCGATTGTCTATCAGTTAATACCGTATTAAGTTAATAATGCCACATTACCATGTTACGGCTAGCCAGAGAAGGCCATTATAAACTTTTGTTTACGCTAATGACAGCAGCAAAGAACAGAGTCTTAAATGTGGATTGCAAAGGTATTTGAAGCTTCAGAGGTGTGGTGCTGCTCTGACTGGGCTTTAGCTCCCCTCTCGTCCACTGTCACTTAACTAAGGTTGAACAAATGTCCCTGCCAAGTTATCTGTGGAAGAAGGGAAACAATTTTATGCCACTGACTATGCAGGGAAAGCCCTGAGCTCCCCTCTCTGCTGAGTCTCTTCTGACGCAGGTTCGTAATCCTCACGCAGGAACGTTCACACTTCTTCCTGATACCTCTTCACGCTCTCAGGGCAAACTGTTGCAGGTTTTGGCTCACAGTAATGGAAATCATTTGTAAGTAGGTCACTGTGACCTGCTGGTGCTTTACAGGTGCTGTGTTTTCTCTGACTACTACCTTTCGCTGTTTTTTGAACAATTTAGTTTCTTTCTCATGTAGAAATATATGTGAAAACTAGGTTTTACTCCTTACCATTCTTAAGACTAAGCTGGCTGTTCATTGGTGTCTAGTGGAAGACAAAGTGCTAATTCCTGAGGTCTAACTACAGGTGCCTGTGGGCATATAAAAAAGTTCAGTTTGCTTTTGGTGAATTCACTGACCACAAGAAATTAAACTGAATACTGTAAGGCTCACAATCTGTTGTTTTCCTATTGGAAAGATCTGCTTTCCTCCTAGGAACCCAGGGCTGGTGGTTGTTTTCGTGTTTCCTCTTTCCACTCCCCACAGTGAGAATTCTTGCAACATTTTCCACATTGACAATGGAAGTTAGGTTTAGGATTCACGGCACTGTGTGCCCTGCCTACTGAACCCAGAGCTTATGTAGTGCATCTGAACTAAAAACAGGACGATGGAAGTGCAGTGGGCTCAGTTCCATCTCAACAGATGGATGTGAGTATGTGCCGCCAAGACAGCATGTCAAATATGTCTGTTAGGGCAAGACCCCCTGCCCAGATCATCTAAACTGCTGTCTATCCTAATTTTGTACATGTCTGTGGTTCGGGGATGTGGCACTGCTGCATCATTTCTAGGCTGGATTAAATTTTGAAAATAAGCTATAAGCATTGTGGCCAGCAGTGGAGATAATGGAATGATTTAAATGAGTGAAAAAGGTAGTGGAATGCAGAAAAATACTTTGTGGGGATCTCCAGATGGAGACTGACGCTAACAGGGCTACAAAATAGGCTAAACCAAAATTTCCTGCTGTGACATCTCTCCTGTGCACACTAGTATCTGTGAACAGTGCCACTCCGTGGCAGTTTCCATGCTGGGAGAAGGCTGAAGTCAGCGTAGAGAGCACAGGACTCCTGTTCTTGTTCATAGTACTGACTTAATAAGGTATAAACCAGCAGTTGCTTTTGTCTCCATACAAGGGAGGCAACTGATTTTGTATTTGAGTATGGTCCTCTGTAAAAATACTTTGCTTGAACCAAGACCCCCTGAATTACAGGCTTCTGCTGGGTTTATTGTAATTTCCGTAGCTGTGGCAGGTTGGAGCTGCTTGTATTGCTTATCAATAAACCATCAGCCACAGTGTGGCTCAGGAGGTTAGCAGCTGAAAGACTTGGCCCTCGAAGTTCCTGATTCAGGTGCATTCTGGACCAGAACTGTCTGAGACTTGTTACCATGAGATGTCTCTTTGGTTGCTTTTGTGAAGCAGATTGCTGGTTGCTGTTCCAGTCCCTATCACTGGTGTATTTTAGAAACACTGTCTGGGCCAGGCACTTGGTTTGAAGCAGAGAGAGAGACAGCTTGGTGTAGAGGCAAGAAATGGATTTATCTCCCCTAGACATGAAGTGTTGCTCCCTACCCAGAATAAAGGCATGTGGATAAAAACTAACGTGGAGGTCAGTGTGATGAGAACTTGCAGGGATATCACCTGCTTTTGTAAGGAAATCGAAGACTTGGGTCTCCAGTGCTGTCACTTGGGTCGGATAAGCACTAAACTTTCTTCAGAATACCTTAAAAGAAAATTACATACTTGAGCTTCAGAGTTTCCCAATTGTATGTTGAAGTGGTGTTGTTTAGAGCTAATATAGGTACAGTAATTATTTTTCACTGTAAATAATGCAGTCTCTTTATAGGAAATACTGGGGGGGTTTTTTCCCTCTTTTTTTACCTCTGGAAACTAGAAGTCCTGTTTTGAGTCCACGCCCTCAAGGCAGTGTCATAGCTGGTCTTCCACACGCTAGGGCCATCAAATCAAACTAAATCTTTGTTCACATAGGTGTGTAAGACTGCAGGACCTAACCCTGTGTTGCTGTATGAATTACATACTAGCATAGCAGCATATTTTGAGGTCTGTAACACACGTACAGATAAGTACTTGCACCAAACCTGTGTGTAATAATTGAATCATCTAATACATTTACTCTCAAAAGTCTTTAGCATTTGTAAGTCTTTTCATTGTACACAGGGATGTTTCCTCTGTGTAAAAGCAGAAATGTGCTCAAACAATGGATTTGCCATCAGTGATTAAGAAACACCCTCATTTAATACACTGGAGAGCTCTGCCTAAAAGCTGATGGCATGGCACTAGCCACAGTGTCCTGCATGAATTGTGTTCTAATCCTGTTTTCCTTGCAATAGCAATCTTCCCAGTATGTTCAGTGTAGTTAGATAGGGCCTCTGTGTGCTTGTATTCCAATAAATGTGATTATAGATGAAATGCTGCTTTCAGATGTGCCTGCAGGGCTCTTGTTGATTTGAGGTGGAGTCCCAGTCATGCACTGTGGAAAAATGTGATTCTTTACATCTTCTAGTTGAACTGAAATGTGAACTTATTAGAATAAATGTGTCTGTCAGTGAGATTCTGTAAAGAGCATAGAGTCTCATCTGACAAACCAGGTATAAACAGAAAATCCATAGTTTTGGACATGTCATCTGAAGTTGTATTTGGTAGAAATTTGTGATCAGCATTATAGTATATAAGGGAATAGATCCAGTGTAACAGAAACATTGCCCAGTATGCCAGAAATATTAGCTACTCAAACAGAATTTTATCTTTAATGTTTAAACTACCATATAAAAACTTAGTGCAGCGGTCTCATGAGAGTCAAAAAGATTACCGCTTGTCTGCCCGTAAGGTAGGCTGAAGCGGAAACTGAGAACATGTTACTTAGGCTGCAAGGAGGCAAAGATCTGCTGGTAAGATCATTGGTTTTAATACTACCAGAGAGGGAGTTGTTGTCCATATGGTTCTAAATGAAAATAATATTTAGCTTTCAGTTTAAATACATCGACACAAATGGAATCTTTTGCTGTAGGAAAAAAATCAGGGTGAACAAATGAAAGGGCACATATAGTGTTAATGTGTTTGGAAGTGTTCCTAGTTTTTACTGGGTAGGTGGGGGGGATATAGGAGCATCACTGAGCAAAACGTGCAGTGTCTCTGTCCCAGAAAGTTTGTAGTCCAAATGGGTGAGACGGACAAATGGCAGGAAGAGCGATGACCAACTTTGTTGAGTGTGCGGCAGCTGTGAAATTAAATGTGAAAACTTAATTTCAGATCTCTGAAATTTAAGTCCAGTGCCTTAGTCACAAGACTAACTTTGTCATCTGATAAGTGAAGTAATAAACAAGGATCTTCATACTGACCTTCTGGGAGGCAAATAGGACGTATTATATCCTACCAAACGGTCTCCAAAATGAGTGCCTGTGTATCGGCTTGGGGGCAATTTTTAGCTTAACTTCTGAGCAGAATGTTGATCAGACATTGCAGCTTCCAAATTCCCTTTTATTTGTTTGATCTCTAGCCTCAAAGCTCTGAAGTGAAAGCTTTAAATAAAATAAACAAAGATGGGAGTGTGAAACAAGAAACTGTGCTTCATTATGCTTAGAGTGCTCTAGGAAGGACGCAGAGAGACTCGTGTTATGCAGAGATGAAGTGTTCACAGCAAGGAAGAAAATAAGTCTTCACTTCACGCCTATCCCCCTCTCCCCCCCACAAAGCCTTTTATGTCTGAGGCAGAAGGAAGTCTGCTTGTGGGCTACGCGGCCTAAGATAATAAAGGACCAGGTCCCAATTCTGCAGTCTGTGTGCATGTGCAGCTCGCTGTGATGCTCGTGAGAGCAGTACGTGCACTAAGTCAAGCTGTGGCAACCTACCTTGAGGCAGGAGACGGTGTGGGAGACGGTTAGATCTCCATTGTGCACGGGGAAGCAAAAAGTACTTTTTTTGCAGCTTAGAGACAAGAAAGTAAATGAACACACTGTTTTCTCGAGTGTAACAAGCTGCGGCTGGTTAGAGGGCCTTTGTTTGGATTGGCTGTGGTTGAGTTTGGATTAACTTTGGGTAAGGGTTTGGGTCTAGGGCTTTCCTGGCTTTGTCAGAATTTGAGTGACTCTGCATGCTAGTTTGAGAAACAGCCCATGGAGCTCGTTTATCTTTGATAGATGAACACTACACAGAATACCGAGAAGGGAAAGTCTCTCTGTGTTGCTGTTCAGCTTAGGCTCCCTACCTTTCCAACTCGGTAATGTCTGGGTCTACTTCACTCCCCCTGTGCTTTTTATGAGACCATACATGAGCTGACATTCTGTTGTTATTTGTAGTTAAATGCAACCTGGGTCACATCCCATTTTCCTTTACATTAAATAAAGTAGCAAGACAGAGGCCATAAATGAATTATCAGGCTGACCTCCTAAATGTCACTGGATAACAAACATGCAAAAAGAATTCTAATTAAATACACATCACTAGCACTTTAATATCTAGGCAAATTAGACTGCTTTGGGGACAAGTGAGGACAAATTTCTTCTTTTGTGTGTGTGTAATGTGGATTAATTCTCAAACTGGACAAAAGCACGAACTGCAGTACCGTGTCACCTCATTACCTAGGGCAGAAACAAGCTGTGCCAGGGTGTTTTTGTACTGTGGAAATGCAATTTATTTGAGTAACCTCCTTTCAGCGGTTCTTGCTTGTTCCCCGGAGGACAGAAAAAAAATGTACTAACCTATTCTACTAAAGCCTGTGCAGTGTCCTTGAAGAAATCTGAATACTATTTGAACTTCTTTAAGATCTTCAAGGTATAGATGAAAAAATGTTCAAAAAGATATTACTGAACACAATGAAAGGGGTGTTCCAGGTCTTTCTAATGAATGTGGAAGCTGTACCTAATGCTGGTCTAGATTTCTAGATGAGATTGATTCATTAGTGAGTGAAAATTAGAAATCTGTATGAGGGAAGGCTGAGTGCAACTGTGTCTTTTTGCATGAACAAACAGCATTTGGGGCAGGAATACATATATACTGCTAGTTCTTTATGTAGGGTTTCAGTAGATACTTTGCAAAATGGAGTCTTAGTTTACAGTACCAGCTAA